GAGGCATAGTTACCTCCTAGAAGAAAAAACAACCAATCCTTTTTGGCCTGTTATCAATCCTCCAATTGATTGATGAAATATTTCAAAGAAAAAAAAGATCTGATATGGCGACGCAAGGAGAAAAACAATGGATGAAAGACAACTGATTTCTAGATCTCTGGTACCATGTTAATGGTTTGACTAACACTAGTTCAGTCCTAGGTCTGAAGTAAGAAAAAAGGTAGAGGAAGAAGGAGAGAAAGAAAGGTTTCGGCTAGAGAAATAGAATCAGTCCTCTCAGCTGACCCATCTATAATTTATAATATGTGAATTAAAATACAAATGATAGCCATGTCCCTTATTAAGTATGGGACACACAACTTAAACACAGACAAAATAGACCACTCATCTCTAATTAAATAGCAAATGACTAAACTACCCTTATACTGCTGACTCTAACAGAACTCAACCTTTTAATTTTAACTTTTATTGTGTATATCCGTGTCCATCTTCTATGTGCCACATGTCCCCCCATGGCCACGCTGTCACCGTCAAACTCTTACTTTACTTTCTATAACAAAGACTTTGCTGAAGATGTAATCCAGATGTTGTGCCTTGTTCCTGCATAGCATGCTCCCTTACTAAATCATCTCCTCCTAGCTGATATTGTTTCTCCCATTAACTAATTCATCTATCTCCAACTGATTCCCTCTCTTTCTCACAACAAACCCTCTGTTCCCTACATCCTCTCTCTCTCTCCCATTCTCTGTATAAGACTGTCCAAGTATAAGAAGGTAGTTTTATTGTTAATGAGATAATGGTCAAACTGTGGTTTAACTGTGACGAAAATATTGACCTGGGACCTGGTCACTTTTACAAGATGATGAATCGTCCATGTCTAACATAGTTGACTTTTTTTTTAATCGTTTTTCGTTTTTTTTCTTTTGTTCTCCTTTAGTCTGACCTTAAGCCCCTTATTGCAGATACCAAAATGCAGATTGGAGATTACGCCCTCTACCTGACGAAATGATCAGGTATTAATATTATTCTTGCAAAATGTACTTTCATTTGTTCAGCATTGTGACGCTCATCTTCTTATCTTATTTTAATCTTGAGATGATATTGACCTTGTAAATGTAACTTCTCCTCATTCTTGACAGATATGCAAGAGAAGATACACATTTTCTGTTGTACATTTATGATCTGATGAAAGCAAGGTTATTTGCATTATCTGCCGACTCTGAAAATGGTGATGCTTTGCTGTTAGAGGTATGATATTAATTAGTTTTGTATCTTTTTATAAAATTTGAGTAATTTATGTAAAGTTGCTTTAAATTTTTAAGTTCTTACTCACTAATTAGTGATGAGTTTTATGTTATTGTGATTTGTTCTAAATTTATGTATCTAATGACTATTCTAATCTAAGTTCTACTTATTTTTTTCCCAAATATTTTTTTTTGTACATACATCCATTTTTTTCTTCCTGTTACTTGTTTATGCCATGTCTCTAAGGTGTACTGTGCTTATGGCAAGGTAACTTACCGATTATTGACTAGGTTTTTTGGTGTTGGTGGAAATATCAGTCATGTAAATATACGAAGCGTGTCAGAAACATTGGACACATCATATGGACATATTATAAAACTTGTACACATGGTTGAAACACTGAAATTTGCAAAAGTATGAGATATTATTATATGCAATGACAAAAGATATATGTGTAGACCCTTTGAAATTGTTAGTTTTGACATTATGTTCCAAATCATCAAATAAAGCTAATAAACTAATGTTAATAGGTAAAATAATATGCTATAATCTTGTGCTGTAATTTTAAAGTGTCAAAACTACAAGATAGAGTGAGTTCAAGCAAAATTTAAATTCATAGAAAGTGCAAATGATTCTAATAAATCAACCAAATATTTCATTATACAATAAAAACTCAAATTAACTTAACATTTGAAAAGAATTTTTAGCTACTCCACATATCTAAGAGATTGTCACCAATTTATGTTATGATACCATCTTTTAAACTCCACATTGCACTGGTAGTTTTCGTTGGGGAATATGCCAATTCCAGTAATATTTTGTGTCGGTACCCATGGAAATGGAAATATGTCATGGAAATATTAGGAAAAATATGGACATTTTAAACATGGTGGGCTTCCTGATTGGCCCATTACTGTTTGATTAAATGAATCAAAGAAGTTATTATGTCTATGGCTGGAGCTTCTTACCTGTTTTGCTGGAGAGAATTATGTCTTGAGAATTGTTGTTGAAGGTTCTTACTCTATGTGATGGGTTGAAAATATGGCTTTTTGGAGGAAGGAGGATTGCAAAAGCCTTCAGGCTGCTTCTTTTAATTCTTCGAAGTTTAGTGATCAATTCACAGGAGGGTTCAGAGGTTGAAGATAAGGGTATTTCGGGAATTATGGGTAAAATTTCTCCTAATGAGGTGGTGTTATGGGTCTTGATGAATGTAGAAGCTGTTGGGAATCAAAGAGTTGTATGGGGAGTGAGGCTCATTTGGTGGATGCTTTGATCCTTAGGGAAGGCTCACATCTATTGGAGATTAATGATGTTGACGTTGATAAGGGTTTGCTGGGACAGTCAGAAGAGTAAAAATGTGGGGCTGAATAAGGATTTTTTTTTTTTTTTTGAAAAAAGTTAAACAGATTTCATTAAAGGAAAGAGAGGAAAGAGAGGAAAGAGAGGGAAAAGATTGGGTGGAGGCTCAAGTGGGAAGATTTTTTTTTTTGATAAATGAGTGGGAAGATTTTTAAGAGAACCAAGATTAAAAAGGATAAAGTCAAGAACCGGGCGTCCATTTTTTTGAAAAAAGTTAACTGATTTCATTAAAGGAAAGAGAGGGAAAAGATTGGGTGGATGCTCAAGTGGGAGGATTTTTTTTTTTTTTTGATAAATGAGTGGGAAGATTTTTAAGAGAACCAAGATTAAAAAGGATAAGAGTCAAGAACCAAGATTAAAAAGGATATCGTTACCGGATAATAAAGTTGTAGCATTTTTTGCAATTGTTGAAGAGCTAAAGAGGTTGTGGCTTTGGGTAGAAAAAAAAGCTTGCCTAAATTGCAGAAGGGGAAGAAAGAGAGTTGGGTCTGGGTGATTATTAGATTTGATAGAGAAGGTTAGAAGAAGATTGATGAAGTTGCAATGGAGGATTGTGCTGACTTTAATTTTTCAAAAGTATGATGATTCGTCAATTAACAATTTAGTTTCTGCTCTGGTGGAGTCTTGCTTGAGAAGCCAAGAGGATGAAGATGGAGATCGGTGGAGAAGGAAGGCTGTTTGCCTATTGAGAAAATTGTTGAGGATGACAAAAGTCTTGTTTTTTTTTTGGGTGGTGAGATGGTTGCAAGAAGAGCCATTGAGCAATTTGAGAAGAGAGAGGAGAGTTTCAGTTGGGGAAAGAGGATAGATCTGGAATGAAGCAGACAATGGGCAAGAGGAAGTAGTTGAGGGGGAGTAGAGGTGTCTCCTCTAAGATGTTTTAGTTGTTTTGTCTAGTTGGTTGTAGCTGGTTGGTTTCTGGTTTTGGGGCTTAGGGGATGGGTGTGTTGGTGGCTGATGTTTGAGGAGGACTTTGCAGCTTGTTTTGTTTAGAGTCTTCTTGTAAATTTCATGTGAAAACATAAAATTTCATATTTAAACATTTGTGATATGCTATGTAGAAGAAGGCCTTGCACTTGCCTTTCTCCTCATGTGTGCTCTTTGTGTAAGGAAAGTGGTGAGACCCTATCTCATTTAACGATATCCTGTTCTTTTATGCTTTGAATTTGGGAATTCTTTTGTATTTTCTTCGTCTGCAGGTGGGCTCCCCCCTCAAGATGTGACAAGACGTTTCAACCGTGACTTCTTAAGACAACGAAAGAAAAGAAGCATGGTAATGTGGAAAGCAACAAAGTTGGCAATATGCTGGGTGGTGTGGGAAGAAAGGAATGACGGATTTTCTTGGAAAAGAAAGTGGTGTTGTACCACCATTCAGCCTAGTGGATCCACTTCAGTCGTTGTCTTGGCCGATCTCCCGTGAAGCATCTCAGATATGTTTCGAGACTCTTGTTAACCGCCTCTGTCTGTCCATCAGATTGGGGGTGGTAGCTAGTTGACTTGAAGAGTTTAACCCCGTGCAGGCGAAAAAGCTCAGCCCAGAAACGGCTCATAAAAATAGGGTTCCTGTCTGATACAATTGAGCTGGGGAGCCCGTGTAGGTGCACAATTTCTCGGAGGAACAATTCAGCAACTGTGACTGCTGTAAATGGGTATGATAGAGGTAGGAAATGACTGTATTTCGTCAATCTATCCACTACCACAAGGATAACAGTTTTGCTGGCAGAAACGGGCAATCCTGTGATGAAATCCATTGATATTTCATCCCAGACTTGGGTTGGTATTGGGAGTGGTTGCAAGAGGCCTGCTGGTGTTGTAGTGGCCGACTTGTTTTGTTGGCATACTGCACACCCGGCTATGAGTTCTGGATCCAATGGAATTGTGTGGCGATGCGTTTTTGTGTTCGTAGGATGCCGGAGTGGCCACTTGTGGGTGAGGCATGGAATAATTCCAGGAGCTTCTTGAGATGGTGTACCCGGGGTGCAGTGAGGGATTTGCCAATACTTGGGCCTTCAACTGCTGTAACTCCCTATGGGATTGGGCTTCTTTTCGAAGTAGATCCAGGAGTGGAGAAGTTGGGGAAGATACTAGTAATTGAAATGATTGTGGGTGCCATGAGAGGGCATCAGCCACCCGGTTAGCAGCCTCTGCTTTGTACTCAATTATGTAGTCGTACCCCAGTAGCTTGGATATCCATCGTTGTTGTTCCAGGGATAGGACTGATTGATCCAATAAGAACTTCAAATTTTGATGGTCGGTCCGAATTATGAACAGTCTACCGAGCAAGTAGGATCGCCAACGTTGGACTGCTAAGACCACTGCTATTAATTCTCGTTCATAAACTGATTTGGCCCACTTTTGTGATGTTAAGGCCTTGCTGAAAAAGGCTAGTGGTCGCCCCTCTTGCATGAGAGCAGCCCCAACACCTTGACCGGAGGTATCACACTCAATGATGAAGTCTTTTGTGAAACCGGGCAATGCTAATGTTGGAGGGCTCGCAACTGCCTGTCTCAATTGCTCAAAAGCTTGTTGGGCCTGGATTGACCAGTGAAAAGCGTCTTGTTTCAGCAATTGGGTCAACGGGGTAGCTATTTGGCCCACTTTTGTGATGTTAAGGCCTTGCTGAAAAAGGCTAGTGGTCGCCCCTCTTGCATGAGAACAGCCCCAACACCTTGACCGGAGGTATCACACTCAATGATGAAGTCTTTTGTGAAATCGGGCAATGCTAATGTTGGAGGGCTCGCAACTGCCTGTCTCAACTGCTCAAAAGCTTGTTGGGCCTGGGTTGACCAGTGAAAAGCGTCTTGTTTCAGCAATTGGGTCAACGGGGTAGCTATTAGGTCGTAGTTTTTGATGAAGCGGCGGTAGTACCCAGTCAGGCCCAAGAAGGCCCTCAACTCTTTCACACTTTTGGGTTGTGGCCAGCTCATTATATTGGAGATTTTATCTGGGTCGGCCGCTACAGTTCCATTCTCTACAACATGTCCCAAGTAGTGAACTTGGTTTTGTCCAGAGGAGAACTTGGACTCTTTAGCGAACAGCTGGTGGGCCTCAAGTGTTGCAAGGGTGACCTGTAGATGATTCAGATGTTCCTCTCAATTGGGGCTATAGACCAATATGTCATCAAAGAAAACAAGGATGAACTTACATAAATATGGCCGGAATATGTCGTTCATTAATGCTTGAAATGTGGCTAGAGAATTGGTCAACCTAAATGGCATGACTAGGAACTCAGTGGCCATCATGTGTCCTAAAAGTCGTTTTGTGAACATCCTCCCTATGTACCCTTATTTGATGATACCTAGCTCGTAAATCTAATTTTGAGAATATGGTGGCTTAACTGAGTTCATCAAGCAGCTCATCAATGACCGATATTGGAAATCGGTCTTCAATGGTGATATTGTTAAGGGCTCTGTAATCAATACAAAATCGCCACGTCCCATCCTTTTTTTTTGACTAATAATACTGGTGAAGAGAATGGGTTGTGATTGGGTTGTATTATCCCTTGCTTAAGCATATCTTAAACTTGCTTCTCGATTTCAAATTTTTGAAAGTAAGGGTATCGGTAGGGTCTTACATTGGTTGGGGCAGCTCTTGGCATGGGGGAGATGCGGTGGTCATGCTTTCGGCGTGGTGGAAGTTCTTGGGGTTCTTCTAACACGCTGCCATATTGCTGAAGGAGTTGTTGTAGGCGGCTTTGGAAGTCTCTAGGCCCATTTGGGCTGGTCCAATTTGAGTCCATGTGCATGAATATGGGCTGATCCGGATCTTCTATTTGCTTTGTTAATGTTGCAAGACTGATGGGCCTTGGACCCTTGCATGTTTTCCTTAGTAGATGTACTGTAGAGTTCTCTGATGTGAAGTCCATGGTGAGACAGGCCCACTTACAAATCATGGGCCCTAGTTGTCTTAACCATTGAATGCCTAGCACCACGTTCGCTCCACTGAGATGAAGAGGATATAGGTCCACCGCAAACTGGTGACCCTGAACCTTTAGTGGTAAGCCCATGCAAATGCTATTTCAGGATAGGCTATTACCGTTGGCCACATGAACCGTAAAAGCTGTTGTTGGTTGAATCGGGAGTCCCATTTTATCCACCAAGACTTGAGTTATGAAGTTAAGGGAACTACCACTGTCTATGAGGATTGACACTTGGTGTCCTTGGATTAGCCTTGCAACTCTCATTGTTTGAGGGGATGCAAGTCCCGTAAGGGCTTGTAGAGATATTTCAGGTGTGCCATTAGGTTGTATTTCCCACCCTGGGTTAGATTCCTCGCAACTGGTGAGGTCGTCTTCCTCTTCGGCATCTGCTTGGAGGAGAAATGCTTGTTGTTTCTTGCACCGATGGCCCGGCCCGAGTTTCTCTTCGCAGTTGTAACAGAGTCCTTTGTCTCTGCGGGCTTGCATCTCTGCCCAGGTCAGCCGTTTGAAAGGAACCAATGGGCCTGGGCCCAGTATTCCTTCCTCCTTGTCTGGTGCTGTTGTCCTGGTTCCTGGACCCCATGGCCATTGCACCTTTCTTGCTCGAGCGAACTTATCCTCATACAATTTTGCTAGTGTTGCCGCATTTATGACTGAAGTGGGCTGCATCGCCTTCACTTCCAGTCACAGTTCTTCTTTTAGGTTGCCGACGAAGCTTCCCACCAACGCCTTCTCCGTCCACCCTTGGACTCTCACGGCTAGCTTTTCGAACTCCATCTGGTAATCTTTAACTGATCCCACCTGTCGTAGCTTTGCCAAACTCTCATCGTGATCTTCAAACCCAGACGATCCAAAACGGATAGTCATGGCATCAGTGAAGTTTGCCCAAGTTTGACGAGGGTGCCCTCGTCGGTACCATTGAAACCAGAGGATAGCTTCCCCTTCAAGATGCGCAGAGGCTAGAGCTACTCTGTCTTGCCTAGGTGTCTCATGGTAATTGAAATACCGTTCGGCTCTGAGAATCCAGGGAGTTGGGTCGCCGCTTGAGAAGATGGGGAAATCGATTTTGGCTGCTCTCGTTGCCGCCGGCCCTGTTCTGCGGTTGTTTTCATTGCTGCGCTCTTGTTGGCTTCCTCTGCCGTTGTTTGTTGCCCCCTGCTCCAGCCAATTGAGGAGAGCAGTGAAACCTTCCTTCATTTCTTTGAGATCTGAAGACATTCGACAGATCTCTACCTCCATCTGATCTACTCGGGTGTCTACTGACGTGTTTCTTGTGTTGGTCATGCTGGCTCTGATACCAACTTGTTAGGAACCTGCCTAACTCAGGGCTCTTTGAGGGAGCCAACCTCCTGAATTCGTTGGAAGGAGAGAGAGAGAGAGAGATTACTGCCGGAAGAATTACTGTCTTATTTCTCTTTGTGCTTCACTACTTATACTGTTTACAATCTTTGATTTCTTTCTGTTACAGCTGTTGCAAGTGGATAGTTAGTTGTGCTGACATGGCCTCCTCTTGTAAAACTGATTAACTGCTTTCGGTTGGTCTGTTCCAGTAGTCTTTACCAAATGATTGACAACATCAAGGTGGAAGTAGTTCATTTGGTAAAATCCTTGGACAGCTTTCTAGTCATCTCAGTCATAGACATTCTAAGAACCTGATCTGAAGTATCACAGTCCTTGAGAGTGAGAGACAAAGTAAGGCTGGAGTGGAAACCACCAGAAGGCAATTAAGTAAAACTGAATTTTGGTGGGAACTCCCTTGGAAATCCGGGACTATCAGGTATAGGAGTAACCAGAAATTCTGAAAGGAGGATACTGGTTATGTTCTYARRACYGATTGGYAYRGGGAATTCACTGAAGGCTGAACTTTTGGCATTACTACAAGGTTTGAAGCTAGCTAAACAAATGGGATACAGACATATTGAGGTGGAAGGTGATTCAAAAATGGTCATTTCCTGGGCTGCAAGCAGCAGCCATACCCCTTGAACGTTAAACATATGATTAGGGAAGTGGGACATATTGCAAATGAGGTTGTTGCGGAATTTAATTGGGTCCAAAGGAGTGTAAATGGGCTAGCTGACTATCTAGCAAAACTAGGGGCAATGAGACTGCAATTATTTTGGGCTGCACTGTAATGAGAGAGAAAAGAGTGTTTAAATGGGATCATCAGTCCCATCACCAAGTTGTATGAACTGTTTCCAATCTGAAATTTAAATAAAATACATGTTTACTGATAAAAAAACATGAATGATGTTAAGCAAGAGGACATGGTGCATCTCGATGAAGAGGAGGGAACTATAAAGGTGGGGTAAGTTGGGGGTTCTAAGATTGCCTAATTTCTGAAGGTGTGGTTCTGGTGTCTGTGGTTGTACTTTGGGTTTTTTTTGTTTTCTCTTTTATTATTTGTGGACTTTATGTTCAACTGTTGCTGTTTGGTTTTCATTACATACATGTAAACCAAAAGATTAGTAAGTATCATGAGAAAGCAAATCTTATTGCTTACATGTATTTATGTTGCTGTTTGGTTCGTCCTCTGAACCAGAGCTTATTGTTTACAGGTATACAAGCGTGGTTATGACATATGTCTGCAGCTTTATGAGAAAGAGCTCTTTACAGACACTTCATATCTCTACATATATGGGTTTGTTGTTTACTCTCCCAGCATATGGAATTTCTGTTTTACCTACAACCAGTGTTTATTAGAAAATAACTTTCATCACTTACTTTTTACCTGTTCGTAACAGGTTACAGGGGGCTAATTTCAATGCTCAACAGCTTGCTATTGTTAATGTGAGCTATTTGTTTATTCCTCTCATCCCTCTTGCATCTGTTTTTATTATTACTGCTTAATGAATAAAACTTGCCTCAGGATGGTTGTTGGGCAGATGTTCTAGATGACCTTTGATGTGCTTCATATGTTAATGGTCCTTTTCTCACCAAGATTTTCATGTACAATAATTATCCTGGTTGAGTTAATCCAAGTTGGTAGTTAGAACATTTGTCTACTTAAATAGTCACAAATTTCTTGGTTCTTAGAGCTGCTACCATTTAGTCTTTGCAGTTTCTTCCATTAGCTATTTTGTTGGTTCTTAATGCTGATAATATTAAAACTTCAAATGGACACAGGGTCTTTGTGAATGGAGGGATGTTGTTGCTCGTGCAGAGGATGAAAGTACGGGCTATATATTGCCAAATAAAGCATTGCTTGAGATAGGTATGAGAGGTGTTTTAATTACCTAAATTGTCCTAGTATATATATAATGCCAATGCAAGTCAACTTAGTTTCAAGCTTTTCGTTTTTCTAAATAAAAAAGCCAGGGAGATGCCCCTCACAAATGGCAAGCTGCGCCGATTGGTGAAGTCGAAACATCCTTACGTTGAGCGCAATCTTGGTACTGTGGTTAGCATAATCAGGAGTTCAATCCAAAATGCTGCTGCTTTTGAAGTTGTTGCTGAACAGCTAAAGAAGGGTCGTTTAGAAATGGTAAGACATGCATTTAGATAAGTCCACAAAAAAAAGTGTCTTAAAAATCAACCTCCACTGTCTCCATCTACGAACTCTCCTTGGTATAAAACTCATCATCCCATTGATGTAGATCAATAAAATGGTAGCTAGTTCTGTCTTCTTGTAGGGCTATTGCACAGAAAATTAAATTTATCCTTCCACTGTATGAGTGTGCTGCTCCAGACAGAGCTCATGATTGAACATACATGCATTCCTCTGCTGGAAAAGTTGTACTATTAGTCCTGTGACTTCTTAGTGTGACTTTTTATGGCTAGATCCATGAGGTGATTCAGTGTGTTTGTTAAGGTGCTGAATTTTTCATCTGGACAGTAGCCTTGAGAAATAGGTAGTCTTGATAATCCTGTTTCACCAGCATAAACATTGCATGATTTTGTTTTTCTTTTGTGATTCTTTGCACACCTTAATTTCTGATTGCATGGTATAATTCATTTTCCTTTTCAATATAGCTTCATGTTTTGATATGTAGGTACATGAGGAGAACACAGAAACAGTTCAAAATGGAACCGGAACCTTATCTTCAGGAAATCTAACAAGCATGCAAAATGCATCTGCTCAAACAGAAATGATTAATAGCAATAGTGGCACTGGAGTAAACTGGAAGATGAACAAATATCCAGTGGCTTCTCTGCAAGTCAAGGAAGAGCCCTTAGAGCTTGGTGGTAGTGTTGTTGAGTGTGGTAGGGATGAACAGAGGCAGCATGAGCTACTTGGTGAAACTGGAAAAATCGAGAATGAAAGGGGCAGCTGTTCATCACAACTTCCAAATGAAAATCCCATCACATTGAGGCATATGGTAGACAGAAATTCTTGAAAAGGAACTTTACATTTGATGATGAGTGTACATTATAATAATTGCTCATTGGATTTTATTTCCTTTTTTTTGTTGGCTGGTGGGATGTATGTGCTGATGTAGCTGTCAATTCTTTTGTAGGATACTGGGGCAACTATTCAAGTGTTGAAGAAGCCAAGCTGTTCTTTTGGAGCACTGCTAGGGAATTCTTCCTCAAAGAGAAAGCTTAATCAGGTTCAGAAGGTGAGTTAAAGAAGAGTACTGTTCCTTGGTGTAGCTCTCTGTAAATACAATTGTCCATATAAAGAGCAGTCAACCTTTGGTCACCAGTACCATGGAAAGGAGGGTTATCCACTCTAAACTGTGGATCTCACTTTTTAGAGTGGAAACATGTGCAAATATGTTCCTATTTGTTAGGTTCATAGTTCTATTGCATTCTTAGTTTCATGATATTTTTTAACATTAAGGCTTAGTTTGGAAGGAGTACAAATACAAATATGTGCAGAGCAAGTACATACAAAATAATACAAAATACAAGAATAGTGAAGAGAGAACAATAGTATAATAGAGAAAAGACAATCAAGAAAAAAGTCATTGAATAATAAAAGAGAAAATATAAACTCAGTCACCTTACTCGTGTTGAGTTGAAATTGGGCCCGGGTTAGTCTTGGGTTGGCCCAACTTCTGTACTTCCTTTTTCCAAATGTACTAATTTACTAGTCTCTTTTCATATTAATTCAATATTAGCATTCATTTGTGTAAAAGAATATGGTTATCATGTTTTAGAAAAAAGTTTGCCCTTAAACTAGAAATTATTGGCATACAATATACATGCATACATGTATCCATGCTACTATTATAAGTGTGAATAAGGTCTAGATTCTAGACATTTTGACTAAGATGCCCCTGTTTTTGAATTTGGTCCTTATATTATGACAGCAAAAGTGTAATTTGAACTACTACTTTTATTAAATTCAATCTACTCCCTCTCATTAAGTCTTATATTTAATGTATTAACTCCAATTCCCTCTCAATAAATCAGCTTTATGGACTTTTCTTGACTGAACAACCCTTACTATTACTTTCTACTTCATTCAAGTCTAGAGTTGTAAAGTGGGTTATGCTGCCCACATGTCGGCCTAGCACGATGTGTCATGCTGGGCTTGGGTTTTGAGTTTTGTGGGATGGCACGACAACAACATAACATAGTGGTAAATACCCTTACCCCTTATTCTCATCACACAAATTCTCATACTCTCATATACTCATCTACTCTCACATACTCTCTCCTACACTCTAATGCTCTTAATTTCTTGCTACCTAGTCCATAGTTCTCAACTTTATTCAAGTTTCAACAAGAAGGCTTGCTCAAGTGTCTCAAGTTAGCAATCTGGGAGGCTTAGAAGCTTCGTCAATTGAAATGAAGTTAGGATTCTAGACTAGTGGACTGGGTAAGTTGTAATTAATTTTCCTTTTTTAGGGTTTTAATACTTCGAGAATACTTCGAGTATCATAGTATGACAACATCGATATGGGTTCTAGTGGTTCTACGGATGATGCTATTCAAACCACCCATACTATATTGCTAGGGGTGGAAAGAGAAAGACAACCAAGTCTAGGAAGTGTTTAATATAGAAACTCTTGAGGAGAAGGGAAAAAGAGGTGTTAAAATAAAAATGTAAGAGTGATTTTAGTTATAGAAGCAAGGATGGTACTTGCCATTTGGCTAGACATTTAGCCAATCAGTTATAAAATAATCAAAATCAATGACAAATTGAGTGTGGGTTTTATGGTAATTTTGAATATTCCTAGGAAAAGAGAGATAAGAATTAGCTAATTTTGAATACACCGAATAGCTATTTTTATTAGTTGAAGGTCCTTGGCTAGAAAGATTTTTACAATAATCAGTAAATCTCCAATTTAAAAAAGTTTGTGGAAATACTATTAGAGCAAATCCTTTAAAAATTTTCTACTCATAAAAAAAAAAATTAATTTCTAGTTTATCAACACTTAATTCTAAAGTTGCACTTTATGATATTTGGACTTCTAAATATAATGTAAATTATATTTGTGTTACTGAACATTTTATTGATGAAAATTGGCTTTTACAAAAAAGAATGTTAAGTTTTACCAGACTTGATTGGCTATATACTGGCACGGTAGTTGTTGCTAGTATATTAAATTATTTACTTTGATGATGCTACTGATAATGGTTCAACTATAAATATTTTAAAATCTCAATTAAGACCATGTTTAAATGGTAAATTATTTCATATTAGATGTGTGTGTCACATCTTAAATCTGTGTACAACATGCATTAAATATTATTTCAACTGACATTTCTAAAGCTAGAAATTGTATATCTATATTAGAACTAGTTCTAGAACAAAAAAAAAATAATGATTTAAATATTTATACAAAAATATGGTCTAAAATATAGAAATTTTGCATTAGTTGTTCAACATAGGTGCTATTCCATATAAAGGCATTCTTACTAATTTTTATAATGAAAAAATGACCCATGTTTTTATAACTGATATAAACTGGGAAATTGCAGTTTGTATAGAAGGTCTTTTACAAATTTTTTATGGTGCAACTAATGCATTTTCGGGTGTTTATAATTAGTAGAAATACTTTAAAATTTTAAAATAGTATTGATGTAATGGAAATTAAATTGAAAAAAACTAATGTGGTGGCGTGACACAAGATGTTCCACTACCCAGAGTAGGAGGCATAGTTTAGAATGCGGGAAGCGAAAGCCTCCCGAGTGCGAGGTGTAAGCCTCGAGCATGTATTTTTATTATAATTATAGTGGGTATATTAATAAGAAAATGATATTTTAAGCATAAAAATATACATAACACTTAAACGACTTAATTTCAATTCTCTAATTGTCAATATACTTGGTACTTGAGTTCTAAATCTCAAGTTTTCAACTCAAGTTCTTTTGCACTCCATGCAACAACTTACAATTCCTAATTCAGCTATGCAATATAGAATTATAAGTTGCAAAAAACAAAAATCTCACAAACCACTGCTTCAAAATAAAAAATTCAAATATCTAATAATTGATAAATAACAAAAACAAACTACAAATAAATACAAAGAGTTGTTGCTAGATTATTTTAATTTTTACAATCTACATCAGCAACAGAATAGAGTCAATAGACTAAATTAACATGTCTAAGGTTCAGAAATTCAAATTTAAAATTATTCTTTAATCACAAATGAGGCATTCACTATCAAGAAATAATTTACCAAAAGAAGAGAAGATAGAAGTTACTTGAAGAGTTGAAGATGATGGCTGAAGCTACAGCCAACAGTGTGGCGTCTTGACCTCTTTGATCTTCTTAGGGTCTTCTAAAATAAAGAGAAAGAAAAAACAGTGTGGGAGACTTAATAGAGTTGCGTGGTGTTTTTTTTTTCTTTTCTTTTCTTTTTTTAAATGTAGCTATGTTCAAGGTAAAGACTGAACAGAGAAAGAAAAGAAAGAGAGAAAATAATAGAAAAATAAAAATATCCCATACTTGAAGAAGATTTGAGAGGTTGGTTGAAGAGAAGCTTCAGGCTTCAGCAGGTTCGCAGTTCACAGCTTCATAGTTTCACTCAAGCCCTTAGTTTTGTTCATTTGCAAAATGAATTTATGGGGAGCTTTTCCCCCTTTTTACACTTAAACAATGCTATATTAAAGTGGTGCCCATGATATAATTGTAGCCCACAAATTAAAACTTAAAAAACTAAAATAAATAAAACAATAAATTGTTTTAAAATGCAACACATGTGAGGCGTATGCCTCTTGTATAAGGCGTGATTGAACTGTATGCCTCTCAAGAAGTATATGCCTTTGTACACGCCTCTCTATTGGAGTGTGTTTTTGCAGTGTTGCCTGGATGTCACGGGGGTAATCGTTGGGGCCCCGTGCGGCACTCGAAATGGGCGAGTAAGCCTACGAAACAAAGCAAACACACACACAAAGGCAACACGAAGGCACACGAATTAGCAAAAGGCTACTTGTATTGCATTAATCAGTGGTAAGCACAAGCACACAGTACAGTGTC